TTACTGGAAGCCAATGCAGAGAAGCTAAGACAGGAGAAATATGATCTCTTTTCCTGGTTCCTGGCAGAACACGTGCTGCAGCATTCTGGATCAGCTGAAGAGTCTTAACGGACTTTTTCGAGCAGCCTGATAATAAGGAATTGCAGTAATCCAGCCTAGAAGTAACAAATGCATGGACTAGTTTTTCTGCATCATTTTAGACAGAATATTCCTGATTTTTGCAATATTACGTAGGTGAAAAAAGGTGGTCCTTGAAATTTGCTTAATGTGAGATTTAAAAACGACATGTCCTGATCAAAGATAACTCCAAGATTCCTCACAGTGGTGCTGGAGGCCAGGACGATGCCATCAAGGGAAACTATATCTTTAGATAATGCGTCACGGAGGTGCTTAGGCCCCAGAAATCAAGTCTATTGTTGTCATCTTGACAGGACAAGTACATGTGAGAATTACCTAAAGCCATAAATGTCAGATAAACACTTAGGGGTCAGCTAAACTACTCTAAGCTAGACCTTTCCCTGTTACATCAACTAAGACACCTAAGAAATATTCTTAATAGTAGATAGTATATGCGTGTTTCTGTAAAAACACAAAGCTGGGGAGGGACGTGTCGCAGACATTGATTGGTGTTTACAATCGCTAGTAGCGCCGAATGTGTGTTAACTTAAAGCCCACCCACTCACTGAGAGTTCACGGTAGCTGGACAGGGACCGAGCGAAGCCTCCCAGACCGACAAACTCCAGTTTGACCACTGGGAATTCAGTTATGTTACCGAGGTGGTTTTCTTGCCGGATTTGGCTCTTGGCACCCCAAGGGAAACCGACTGAGCTAACCAGCCACAGATACAGGCAGATAGGCTACAGTTAGCGGTTTGGCAAAAATTAAAGCTATCTATATCCAACAAGAAGCTCTCTGCAAATCATCTCTGCACTGGAATCCCTGTTGGTCTTTGAGGCTGTATTCGGTTTAATGCCGTGTTCAATGGGAGGCTGCTGAGTGAATTGCCTGCTCGCCCGGTGCCGTTCCAGTTCAGGCGCTGCACCCCGCCATCACACCCTGCTGGGCCCCCTGCAACTGGCCTGAAAACCTCCAGTGCTTGAGTAAGGGTCTATAGTAAACACAAACACTCCGCTGGTGCTCTGAGCTTCCAGTAAGGGCAGAGTGAGCTAATCTGACCAGGAGTTGCACAGCTAACTGAGCTAATAACAGCAGCAGGCTGTTAACTAACTTCAAGGAACAAGTAAAGCTATCTGTCCAGCAGGACACTGAATCACAGAGTTGGGGCAGAGCAGCTGGGGGACATCAGAGAGAAAACTAGAGAAAAAAATCTCCATATTTCTAATATTTCTCTATCAAATATGATCCAGTTTCACCAAAAGTTATTTTTACACTAATCAGTGGGGCCCGGTCACAGAAACACTGTCCTTCAGCAGCAATCTTTGCATTGGACATTAAATGAATACGACAAGTGCAGAATGAGTCATCAACAATGATTTTCCAAATGACAACCTCTTAAATGTCATCAAGAATACCGACAAAACAACGTTTTGTCATTGATTGCCCAGATACTGCCATAGTGGTGACATAGTGCAAAGCATATCATAAAAACATTTAAACATGGATGTTGGGAACGGGAGATTTTGTTATTCTATATTTCTCTAAAAATACACTGAGCGAGCAGATAACACATCTTCATTTGCCTTTTTGGCATTGATGTAATCCAAAAGTAACTAAAAGTAATCAGATTACATTACTTTTATTTTGTGGTACTTGGATTACATAAATTTTTCAACAAGTAACATTAATTAATAACATTTTTAAAGTAATCCTCCCAACCCTGCTTACGGAAGGAATTATAGTGAAAATCAACTATTCACCTTTTTGCTGGGGACACCCTGAAACCCTCTCATGTCACGGTGGGTGTAGGGTAGAGCTAGTTGGTGGACCCAAATGCAGGACACGTAGGCTGAGAGTTACAGTTCAGTGATATTTGAATATAAACAAAAAGCGAGCACACTTACAAGAGCGGCTGAGTTCAGAAAATCCAAAATCCAAACAACTGACAGGGAACAAGCAAGATGAGCACGACGAGACAGAGCAGACAACACTACAACACACTGTAATGATCCAACAAAGACTAAACAGAAACACCAGTTATATATGCACACACACACACACACACACACAGGGACTAACGAGCAGGGCGGGAGCAACACAGGTGACAGACATGAGAACACAGAACTAGAACACATAGTACCGAGCAGACTAAACCAAAATGATGCAGAGAAAGAACTAGAAGCAAATACTACGACATGAACTATGGCACAGGACTAGGAACAAAGACATAGAACCAAAACAGACAAAATAAAAGATACTGTACCGACAAAACAATAACTCAGAGAAATTCAGGACAGGATCGTGACATCTCAAGGACCCCTGGGGTTTCCCGGACCCCACTTTGAGGACCAATGACCTATACAATGTATGCTATGTTTGTGGATTACCATAGCAACTTACGCCTCATGGCTTTGTTGTTCATCCAATATGTTTCCTGTACCTTTAGGATAGATTTGAGATAATGTTTATACAAGTTTTTATTGAAGATCTACAGTGTATAAGTTTGTGTATAATGACTTATGATAATGTGTTACCCTTAATATATCAAGCACAATATGACTACGTCTCTTACTCCTTAAGACACATGTGTGAACATGTGAGAAAAAGAAATATTACCTCATCTGAAAAGTCCTATTTTCTTTTTTTGTCACCTTTCTGAACTGACAGAACATCTTGGGATTGAATTTATGGGTATGGATTGTTCCTTCCTCCTAGTTTGCAGATGTAAGACTGTAAGCTAAAACACTCTACTAAAGCTAGTTTTCTCTTGCCAGATGAAGGGATCATACAGCCTTGACCATCAGCACAAAGAAGATATCACATTCTACACAGATTTTTGCAATCAAAAAATAACACCAACACATCAACATTATTTATGACAAAGCACTGTGATGCATCTGCAAGCTATTATTTTGACTTTTTGATTCAGGTAAACAGTCCAAACATTGCTGATTTACTTGAGACCACTATGAAAGCCAAAGAGGCTGTACATTTCTGATGCTGTATGTTCACCTCCCTTCAGCTCTCCCTCCCTGCATTTTCTGTTGCAACCAGTGTAGCATGAAACAATAGTGTAGCATTACTATCCTCTTAAATCCATTGATCTCCTGCTATCTGCCTTCCTGTTTCTATTCTATCAGATGTGTGTTTCCAACTGTTCCTTATATCCACTCTTCTTTATAGCAGCTCTGTAGTTTCTGCCTCTTCTGATCACACTGTGGGCAGGGTCATTTTTCATCTGCTAAAATGTGTACTTTCAATCGGAAAAGCCGATAAAGATTTTCCTTTTGGCTAAATCTGGCACATTTTCATCTGATTCATATTAATTAATGTAAATATTTTTTTTCCTTTTAGTGAGACAATTTAATTAACATTAACAACACAGGTACTAGGACAGTTGATTAATGAAAATGCACTGTATGGAGCCTGCTTGATTCCAGATTTTCCATAATGGCTGACAAGACCAATTACCGGCTCATTCACCAAACCGTCTTAAGCATAAGAACAACTAGGGAAAAACATTAAACCTTCTCTGCAGCTGCTTTCTGAAACTATTTGATTTAATTATATAAATGAGCAGTTCTTTATTTGACTGCACTTTGGTAAATCACATGCAGCTGTGGAACAAAAGAAGAACCCACACTTCTCCCACTTAACAAATGATTTATGTTGGTGTGGTACATTTGGGTCCTAATAAATTCAGTTCATTACAATATATAAGACTTCACCATAAGAACTGGCCTACAAGCATTTTTTTACGCACTGTGTGTGTGTGTGTGTCACTGACACATGCAGGTAAATGTTTCAAGCTCAGTGCTCCTCAGACAACACTGATGAACAACAGAGGACAAGTCTAGAAAAAAGTAAAGGGAAGGGATCCAATGGATATGAGCTCAGCTGGGAGAGAACATGTGATATCAAAGTGTTTAACATGAAACTGCTTTTAGTATAAATGTTTTCCAGGCAGGCATATTTATATTCTCACTTGTTCCCCTAAGACAATGTTTGCTCTATTGCAAGATATGAGTACTTATTTGAGTGGTGTGTCATCCGTGAATAGATGTTGTTCAAGGTTTTGAGGATGATAAAAAGAAGCAGGTGGAGAACTGGATTTAGGGTGTTGCATGTTAAAGCCATTTATCTCTGATTGCTGACTAGAGCCCGGTTGATACAGGAAAAGCTGAGGCCAATACAAGGATCGATATTTAGGAGTTAAAATATCTGATGTCAGGAACCCCTTAAATTTGTTTGTTAAAGAATTTTGACCAATAGATACAGAAGACATCCAGACATATACACTAGTAAATATGCTAAAATGGGGCGATGTATTGATTGGGCTCTCAGTCAGAGCATGTAAACAGAATATCTTATCTGATCATCAAGAAATGTCAAGTGTGGGAAAATAGCCCTGCTCAGATCAAGGGACTTCTGAGATGCATTATAGAAGGTGTAAGATCCAGTGTTTTTGGAGCTTCACCCATACAACGGACTGAAAATCCAGATATCTCGGCCTCTGCTGCTTAGATGTTGACAATGCAATACTAAATCACTGGAGTACCATTTTAAGCACTCATGTAAATGCTTTGGTCAGTCAGACTGACTTCGTTTAGAAGTAAAGAGCAAGCCTAAGTGGCCACAGTCAGTCATAATTAAGCTTAATGAATGAGGGTCGGATTTCAATCATATCACTAGTAGCAAATGACCTTTAGTACAAGGATGCATTTGGACTGTTGGTTGCTGTAAATGTAAACCCCCTCTCCCACAGTGCCTTTTTTTCATTTTTTGTGTTCATGGCTGCAATGTTCTTTATTTATGAGTATGTGTCTGTCTGTGCTGTGTATTGTAGACATGACATTTTAAGAATGGACTGTCTTCTTTTTCAGAAGCGGAGGAGCTGTATCAGAAACGTATTTTAACAATATCAGGAATCTGCATTGCTCTCCTAGTCGTTGGAATCATGTGTGTGGTTGGCTACTGCAAAACAAAGTAATTCTTGTCACATTTTTATTTTTTATTTGATTTGTAACCCTACTTTATTATAGTCCCCAGTAGTGCCTCCAAGTCTCAAAATCTCCTCAACTGTGAACTGTGCAGTAAGTAAAACTTACAGTACGTGTGTCACAGTTCAAAATTAAACAAGAAGTACATGCTAAAGAAACAACAAAAAAGCGTTTGAATAAATATTTTGATCAAATAACAAATCACGGCAAGGAAGCATCAATTAAATGTATTTAAGAAACAAATAGATGTTAGGATAAGTGCCATAATCTGGGAGTCGGGAGCCAGGAAGGGAAAAGCTCAGCCCTGCAAGTCGTGAATTTTGAAACACCTAGGAGACTTTATTCTGATCATCTGACTGTTGAGAAGTCGGGATGGGAAGACTTAATTAGTAATTGTGTAGCAGAATTTGAACAAATCATAACTGTGCATAATAACGCTTTGTTTTAAACATTACAACATTACAACAATAGTCAAAACAGGAGTAACTAATGGAAAAATAAGAAGGGCCTCAGTTTGGCAATGTCTGTAAAAGGAAATTACAGGATTCAATAACTGAACTGAGGTGTTTTTCAACAAAACACATTAGTTCAGCATTAAAAAAATTACCTAGAGTTTCTGGAAACCAACTTTGAGTTAGTAGCCAAGTGGCCTGATGCAACATTGCATATGTTTAATTGGGGCATAGGTTGTGATTTAGCTACAGAAGACTGTGAGACATCTAGACATTGATCTCCTTTAGACAGTTATGTAAAGTAACCAGATTGGAAAGTTTACAGAGTTTCACAAATACATAAAGCTAGATGTCATCGGCATAGCAATGATCAGAGATACAAACCAAATGAGGTGAGAGAAGTCTGGGGATTTTGTGGTGCTACTGGACACTATTTGTGGAGTATTTTGTACTGACCTCAGTATGTAAAAAATATTAATTACCATTACAACAAGCCATAATACATTAGATGAAATTGGGGTTAATGCATCCCTTTTGGTATATTCGGATCTTTCCCCTCAGATATGTTGTCCAGTTGTGACCTGGGCTGCTTCACAGTCTAGTTTGTTTCTTCACAAACAGGAAGCAGAGGAAGAGGCTCCATGACCGCCTGAGGCAGAGCCTGAGGAATAAAAGGAACAATAATACCAATACTGGTAGTGGCCCCAACCTGGCAACCTCAGCCAGAGGACGTCAGATTTCTAACTTGCCTCTTCAAGATTTGCAGCTTAACAATGTATGCTGTTACTCGTTGGTATCAAATAAAAGGTATCAAAACCTGTTGAATCTGTACACTCATGTCAATCTGTTTTCTACTCCTCTTGTTATAGCAATGTAATGGGACATCTATGCAGCATGCAGCTGAGAAGGAGACGGAAACAACCTTCTCCACAAGCAAATATGCCTTATCTGCGCATGAACCCACCACATTCACCAACATTTCCAGCCAAAGGTGAGAAGTATATTTTTTCTATCTGGTAAATTTGGTTTGGTTTTTATCACTTAGAACTTGGTCTAGCTCAGGAGAAGTGATGTAGTGGTACAATGGATAGCATGGCAGACATTAAATTAGTGACCAGTAATTCACTGGCTGTCCTGAGGGGGACACCAGGAATGAGCCATACACAGCAGCCCAGACACTCTGTCTACTGAGCTACAACACTAAAATAAAGCAATTCCACTTGTTCCTTGTGCAGTTTCAGTATTGTACTGTATAATGTTTCCAGTTGCCTGAGAACACTGATCAGTACAGAGGTGAGAAACAGCTCAGAAAGGTACGTGGTACATGGTAGATTTATTCATCATATTACAACACAGGATTAAGTTTTTGACTTCATGCTACTCACAAAAGCAAACATTATATACAAATATTATATGCAGTAGATGGGAGGATAAATAACAAGTCATAGAAATAGAAAACTTTTTACATGGTGCAATACCGAAGTGGACAGGCTGAGGCTGGGTGTGTACTGTCCTTTAGTATCCTTTGGGCAGCGCAGGCACCTCACCTCGTAGATATCACATCAACTAGCTGGCACAGGTTTTTAGTACACAGCCAAGCATGTTATCAGGCCCCGCAGCTTTACTCATATTCACTTTTATCAGGACTCTCAGTCCTCTGGGGGTGGAGTAGACTTTAAAGCTGACTCCTTGTTGAGGAGATCGAAGCGAGCATAAAAGGTGATGAGTTTATCTGGTTATGTGACCTCACACATGATGGAGGGGCTCCTGCTTTTGTAGCCTGTGATGTATTTGATCGCCTGCTACATACCGTATCTTTGGTGTTGTTGGTGTTGAGCAGTGGCGGCTGGTGGGGCTGTGCCATATCCAGTCAGTTTCAGTAATCATCCCAATACAATTTAACACAAAATGCAGGATACCAGTGCTTTGTGAAATGGTCAGAAATTATTTAATGCCAAAATTATATTAATACATATAATACATTATATTAATATACAAAACCATAAACAGTGAACATAAACATATAAAGTGGCATGAAAAGAAAATACTTAAGTAAAGTACAAATAGGCTTCCTCTAATTTGTAATTCATTACAGTAGGCCTACTTAAGTTACTGTCCACCACATCTTAACACTTCAGAGCTGCCTATACAGCTTATTTCTGTAGCCAACAGCTGTTGTTCTCCTTGTTGATGTACTGTAGCACAAGCACCAACTTGGCAGTGGGTGGAAATGTCAGCTGTCTCATCTGCCTGAACAGCAAGTTAATCTGCATTTTTTACTTCCTCCAGAATGTAATCTTCAAGAACTGACAGCATGCAGTCCAAAAGTTCATTTTTCACAGTCTTTGAGGTGCCTTTGAAAGCGGTAGCTGTCTTAAGGTGCTCTTCCAACATGCTGTCCAGCGAGGCAACAAGATCTACTGAAAACGCCAGGGTTTTCAAAAGATGCGGTCTCACTGTGGCTGTGCAAGGTCGATGTTAACTCTGCCTAGCATGGCTAGCTTCATCGTGTTGTCCATATGGGCCCTTGTACACTTGTGTTTCTTAATCTCCTCAGATAAATGTAGCGTGTCCTTTATTCCTGTAACAGTCGATGTTGTGTCCGTCCCTGGCATTTTAAAAAGCAAGCATGGGAAGCAAAATAAGGCATTTAAATCATTGCATCCAGCTAGCCGTGGCTGACAGCCAGTCGCTCAGTTGAGTTCCTCATTAATTTTGTCAACAACGTCACGTGTCCCTCTACCAACGACTGACTATGCTTGGGGCAGATCCTGGAGCGCCTTTCAGGCATCAGATTTGAGGACGCTGATTGGCTCAATTTCTGTTGCTATTGGCATATCTTGTGTCAGCTATTGGCTTCGCTGCTATGCTGCCTAGGTGAGCTCTCTAGCGCAAGGGGGTAAGCCAGAGATTGGACAGTGAATCCGACCAAAGCCTGCGTGGAGGGATCCATGTTGGCCCAAAAATGACGTCAAAACCCTGTGACACCCCGTCGCACATGAGAGATGTAACCGTATTGCTTAGATTATAAACTCTCGGCAATCTAAAAAAAATATTCCGCGATCAGTGACACTGCATTGGTGTTTCATAGGTGAGCCTCATAGGTGGGCTGATTAATCAGTGACGATCTGACAAACACACTGAGCCATGAGACTTTTTGTTGGCGCAGCTCTGCAGCTACCAGAATTATAGTGTTTCTGCCGTTGTTCTACGTCATTAAACCACGGTGAGAGGGGGTTGTAGCCAATTCTGTGGTCTGGTCGCTGCGACACAGACCACTGGTCACTACCACTAGGGGCGCTAAAGATACTGGTCTCTGCCACACAGACCACTGGTCTCTGCCTTGCTGCCAGGCTGCCACACCGACCACTGGTCGCTGCCACAGTCTCTAAGGCTCCTTTCTGGTCCTTGTCACACAAACTGTGGCTGTACACATTAAAAAAGGTCAGTTTCAAGTTTTTATAGAGTCTATGGTTCCAAAGTAGACCTAAAGTGACCTTAGATCATTTAAATTATCTCAACTGGCAGATGATACAATTTTTTTTTTGTCTAATAGAGAGGAATGGATCAAAGCAATTGTGTTGAGGAATTTTCTACTGTATCAGGCTTAAGAATGAACTTGAACAAATCTGTTTATTATTTGCATTAAAAAGATAAACAGACTTAAATGAGCAACCACACCGGCCAGTGTGGCAGCGACCACCGTAGGCAGCGACCAGTGGTCGGTGTGGCAGAGACCAGACCACATAATTGGCTACAACCCCTGCTGCGGTTATGCTGCGCAGTAGACGCTGGTGCCAACAGGAAGTAGCCCTGTAGTAGTATTTTATTGGTCCAAAACTGGCTTCACTGCTCTCCATTTAAATCAGCGGGGTGGCTTCGTCCAGTAATATACTGTCAATGCTCTAGCGCCCAAGAAGAGATCATTGAATTAAGCTAATTTCACACCAAAACAGAATTATTTAGCCTATATTTTATATATTACACGTTACTGTGCATTTTACACACACATATACTAAAAAAGGTAATTACTGTTTATTCAAAAATGTTTATTTTAAAGAGAAAAATCAAAGCACTTTCCACCCACAGACTATATATAAAAAGTTTCCACCACCAGGAAGGGCATCGCCCTAGCCTATTGGCCAGCCGCCACTGGTGTCGAGGTCTCTCTCCAGTCTCTGCTGATGTCTCTGCTTTGCCTCCAGGACCCCGCTGTCTTCTGGGAAGAGATAAGTTTCTGCTGCCGACTGCAGAGCAGCTTTTCCCCCAAGCTATCAGACTTTAAACTCAAATTCATCCTCAGCACTGCTCCACTGAATATAGTTAATGTATATTGTCCGCTACGTAGCAGAAGGGAGTTACAAACTCAATTTCACTTTACAACTATTTGTAATGTGACAAATAAATCTACTTTGTACCTTGATGCCAGCTCTGTCTCGCTCTGGCAGTGCTATATGTTTCCTTATCACCTGACCGAAAAGCAGCTGTTTTGGCTCTGCATAGAGCCCTCTCCTTTCCATTCATCCAGGCTTCCTGGTTGGAGAGGGATTTTATTGTCTTAGTGATCACTAATTTGTAGCTGCCAGGAATATTCTATGGTACCAGTGTATTTGTTCCTCTGGTGGGGATGTGGACATGCTGGTGGAATTTAGGTGAAACTGTTCTGAGATCTGTTCAGCTACAATAAAAAAAAAAAATATATATATTCTTTTTTAAGTTTGCATCTGGAGGAATATAAACAGCAGCAACTCTGAGCAGAAAGTATGGTCACCGCCTTTACATTAAAAACTTGCCATCTGGTAAACATTGCCCATCCACTTTGACTGCTTTTGAGCACCTAGAATCCCGCCTTTGTTCAGTTTGGCGCAGAATACTCCCCGCCCTTCGAAGGCAATAGCTTGATCTGGGATGTTGTGGTGCTGCCAGGTCCCAGTAAAGATCAGGGCACTGCACATAGCCTGAGTCTAATTTCATCCATTTTATTTTCCTGCTCCGGACATTATCCAGGAGCAGACTGGGAAGTGGAATAGCCTTAGGTCTGACCTGAGTTAGCTGAGCTCTTATCGCTGCTCACTGTCCTCTCTTCCTGGTTTGATCTCACTGCTTGCAGTGACGTTTGCTCCAAGCGGTCTGGTTGTCCGGACAGGAAAAACTCAGCTGCACTCATTCCAATCTCTCCACTTCTTATTCCAATGCTGATAAGTGTATTTCAGTCATGGGTATTCATGCGTGTTTCAGTACTAATGGTGAAACAGTTAAAATAAAAATGTAGGGTGCTGCTGGCCGCTGCATCTACATGCACAACTGTTGCCATGCAGATGGCAAATGGCCTATACCAATATACCAGAAAGTGCAAACCTCACAATTTTGCATTCTCTAATTATGAGTTTCATAACTGGTCTCCTTATTTGATTAATTCTTTTACATTAGAGTTAATACACTCCAAATCAAAACTACGCTGACAGAGTCTGATTCTCAACATAACTAATTTTATCCTTGAGCAGCGATGTATTAAAACGCCATCTAGTGGATATAGGGGGTGGAAGCCAAGTGATGGAGATGGCCATGGTCTGAAATGATAATGCTACGAATGTGCGAGTCAGGTTTGCTGTTGGTTGTCTATTGATAATAATGTAATGGCCATCTGGGTCAAAGATAAATATTTTCTAGTTTCAAAATGTTGCGCAGATGTTGGAAGGTTTGGAAATCTTTATTTTGAAACTTTGTAACAGATGTACATCTAGGGCATAAACGGTGGAAAGACATTGTTGATATCTGCAAGAAATGTCTATTTTGCCACTTATTTGCACGTGGAAATCAATGTTAATAATAGCAGAAATATGGGGAAGGTCAACCAGCCACAACACTGCATTGCTTTCATCAGCGGACGACAAGGTGAAACAGGAATTTTGCCTTAACTGAAGAAATGACATTGAGCCACATTTTCAGCCTCTGGATGGGCAAGTTTTGGATCTTAGTTCTGTCACAGCA